ACTCAAAATTGAACCTACTTTGGACTTGAACTGAACATGAATTCAAGGTCGACTGCAGGGGACTCAAACTTAAATGGAAATCAAATTATTTGAAACTTGAGCTTGAACCAAATGTGGATGAATTTAATATACAAATAGAACTATATAAAGAATGACATAATGCTCTAAATGGAATTATAATTTATAAGATAACAAATTTTAAATCAAATGTAAGGGAATATATATGAGACTTGTGAGCCAAGGGACTATAAACATCAGTCATTTATAAATAATGATGAAATTGTAAAGAACATCACGATGTTCTCAATGAACATGATAATTTACCAGTGGTCATATACAAGAAATTCAATATACTTGCAAGTGATGGTGGAAGAGTTGTAATGATTACAAGCACAATGGTGCAAGAATATTCATGATGTGCACACCACTTCATTCACAAACAAAGTGGCATATAATCGATGCTACAGATATCTTACAAATATGAATTAGAAGATCATGACAGGCATTATGCTCATAGCCAACAACACGTTGTGAGTGCATATACAAGTTCCCTACTAATGAGCGAAGTTAACATGCAGCAAACACCACAATATCCATTTGACCAACTTCAGCTAATTAGCAAATGAAAGTCATAGTCCCTTACAAGTGCTAAAGGATCAATATGCAATAATATATCAATGTATCTACAGGTGCTAGATATCCTTCAAATATATATAAGTAGTATACATTGGATGCTATGAGATGCTTGTAATCAATGCAAACAGAGATGGCAATTCACTTGAAAGTAGCATTGTTGGATATACTATAGATGTGATTGGTCCTCTGCATACACATGCATACATTCAAAATGTCATTTATGGGCAAGTATAGAAAAATTATAACAGATGTAAGCCCTTATGGGTCATCGTAGAGTACTTGTTATATACTCAGCAAGCTATTTGATGGCAAATACAAGAGATTTGTAGGGAATGCAATTATCTACGAATAATTACTAGGAATCTATGATAAATACAACAGTTTGCCTACGAATGTCTATAAGAGAACTGCAACAAAATGTATAACCCACTTATGAATGTTAATAGAAAATTACGAGTGTAGACATGACATATAGCAAAATGCAAGCTCCTATGGACTGCTATAGAAAACTTGTCATATATACTAGATGTCATCTACGAGCAAAATGCCAAAAGATTACATTAAAAGCAAGCTTTTATGAGTTACTATGAGAAACTCATCACACATATAACATGTTATATGTGAGTGAGTGCAAGAGAATTACAGTGCATGCAATTACCTACGAATAAAAGCAGGAGATTCATTAGTGCAATATGACTCACTTACAAAAAATAATAAGTAGTGCACGACAATCTACCTATAAAAAGAAGCAAATAACTCAATCCAAAAGTTGCTACAACACACCACCGGATCCGCAACATCTATGCAGAAGAACAGAAGGCGTTTATAAATATTTTAAAGTACCCCCGTATATGCATCTTAATTTGTATACACATATATACACAAAAAAGGTAAATGTAATCAAACACTCTTATGGGCCTCGGTGAGCATGTTATTAGTACAAATATGATGCCTAGTGATGTTACATGGGTCACATGGTAAGTCCAAGTTCAAGCCCGGTCATTATATAAGGGTAGATGGGAGTCGATACGGCTCAAACCATTAAATAAATATGCGGTCGTGACACAACCAGGATATTTATTTTATATATTCATATTAGGCCTTTAAGGCCTTCAATTAATAAAGAAAACTCACTAGCAAAAGCATAAAACCTACAAAACCTGATCCTCTATCAATAAGTTGACAGAGTCGACAATGTTCAATAAGTTAGAAAGAATGATCTCAAACACCTCGATGATGGCCGTGTTGAATGCAGATATTAATCACAGGGGTTAATTTTAAATATTTCAAAATGCCCTCAAATTTCTACAAAATTCAAATATCTTTAAGTGACCTCAAAGTCACCCCGATGATGACTGTATTGAATGTAAATCTCAACCGAAGGGGTTAAATCCAAATGATTTAAGATACCATCCTAGATAATTAAGAATCCATAAATCATTCCAAAATCTTGATATTTAAAATGGAAATTCAATCATCAATTCTTAAAGAAAAATCCATCCACTTTCCGTAATAATTTGCTGTGGTGAACAAATTAAAATTTACTTCAGCTCATATAGAGCTAATGTCTTGTCAAAAATATCATTAGAATCCATTCTCAAATAATCTTTTGCTAGTAAGGACATGGTACGTGTCCTCTGACCATCAGTTTTACCACCAAATAGCACCGTATGATAAACGGCTATGACCCGGGGCCCTCTGAACTGAGTGGTTTTGCCAACAAATGGCACCATGAGATAGTGGTCATGGCCAGAGCCAATATGTTCCTAAATGACATCAAATCCTTGATATATGAATAAATAGGATATGATTGATAGAGCACAAAATCCTTTGTTAGCTAAGGTAGATTCAAATTTATCTCCTTAGACAAACACTCACCCATGGTCTATAAGGTCCCCTTGGATAAAGCAACCCATGACTATTGACAAGAATCCTTCTGTCAGGTTGGGTCGACTACCTCCTCTGACTAAGTAAACTAGGGAACATGATGCTATCTAGATGACGAAACTATAGGATCTTTATCAGGTTCATCATCCATTCCCCCACAATCCGTTTTAAATGTTAGATTGTGAAATTTATGTTTTAAATATCAAAAGTATCAAATTCACAAATTCCTTGAGCCAATGCTGCTACTATATGCTAGATAACACGTATTTTTATGTATCTGATCGACGACTAACATTAATTGAAAGTTATCTCTCGTGATCGAGAGGGGTAATTAACTATAAGGGCTTGCGCTTATAGGAAACCAGAACTCAGATCATAAAATCCTCGCAAAATGAGGGTGAAATCTCTAAGTAGTGTCTTATATACAAACCCATCTGTCTTTCAAAATTTACCCCGGAACTTACATCCGTTAAAACTCCACTCGAGAAAAAGCAAACGGGTGGAGGTCGGGGCCTAATTTTTGGAGCCCACAACATCATATCACCATACACTTTATCTTCATCACAAGAGATTTTATGGAGTCTCCTACAACCATCAAACTCTCAACATCAACTTCATTTAGTTATCCTTCTCTTCCATGAAAACTATTATTGGGCTCAAAATTTTCTACCTTAGCTGCAGCATGTCCCAAATAATTTCAAAGACATCAAATCCAACATCAATCTTGTATCACCAATATTGAAGTGTAACTTATGAGGAGAAGTACAAAATCGAGCCTTATTAGACTTAAAAATTCAAACTGACTAATAAAGATAGTTGGCATCTTTTTTAAGAGGAGAAAGGAGCATAGTTGTAAAGATTGAAAGGCCTTATTACCCCCAAATCTGATCCATCTATTGATAAAAGTCGACACACTACAGGAAAACAGCTCATTTATGACAGAATTTCTGACGAAAATAAATTCGTCACATATTCCGGTGACATTTCCGGCGAATTACCGATGAAAGATTTCTGTCGGGTTTTCCGATGGATTAATTTCTAACGAAATTTCCTACCAAATTTTTTTTAAAAAATGACTATAATAAATATTTATAATTAATTATTTTGTTAAATAATTTAATAACTTATTATCAAATAAAATTAAGTTAAATAATATGCTGGCTCACTTGGGTCAATAGGCGTGCGCATGGGTGCGGCCAGCTGGGGCCTCGCTTGGGCGGGTCGGCTTAGCAGGGCTTGTGCGCATGGTGTGGGGCGCAGCTGGTGCAACCGTTGGGTTATAGTTTATAGTTTTTTTCCTTTTTTATTTCCTACGTAAAATAGTTCGCCGGAAATTGTACCGGAGGAATAATTCTGCTGGAAGTCCGCCGGAAATTTTTCTGGCAGCCTTTTTTGCGCCGGTATAACTTCTCCGATGTGTGTTTTACCTTCGAAAAAAATATGATGGAAATCCGCCAGAAATACTAATTTCCGACTAATTTTGGGCATTTTCCGACGGATTTTGGCCGCCGATAACATGCGATTTTCCTATAGTGACAATTTCTTCGATAGAAGATTGAAGCATGCTATAGGACGACTATGGTGCTTTAAACTTCTTTGTCGATATGCTATCTGATCACCAATACTACCGCTTATTCATCATTGTTTGATAGAAAATTCCATTTATCAATGGCAAATAAATCTGTTGGTTCCAAGATATAGCTAGCCGCATAATGGCATCCTCCTTCACCATCTAATATTGGCTTAATGAATTATATTCTTGCTTAAATATGTTATATGAATTAGATTCTTACTCCACTCAATATAGGTTAGTATGATTAAGCTTAATGAATGAGTGATTAAATATTAATCTAATTAATATGAATATTCCATCCTTAAAAATAAAAAAAAAAGACATTTTACAATATAGCTTTAAAAGATTGAGTTATCAATGATAATGATTTTAGTAAAATTATTGATAACATATTTCAATGAAAAGTGATAGCTTAATTTGCAATATAAAATTATTCATTTCGTGCAGCTTTTGCCATTTTTTCTTCTTCTTTAAACTTAGCTTCATTCTATCAGAACAAAAATACCTGGTTTTAAGGGAAAGCGATGGCTTCATTCATTTAGCTTCAGTATTTAATTCCTTGCGTGTGACTTTGATAGCCTCTTTGCATTCCAATCCTTTCCTCCTACGGTTTTAAATAGCGTTCTATTGTGCGAGTACAAAGGCAAAATTATTAAACTAATTTGTTGACCAACCGTTAAAAATTTTTAATTGACGCATAAAAAAACTATTTTTATTATGCTTTTAAGCATCATAAAATTTTAAAATAAAGCAAAATATGAACTTTAGATATTTTATTTGTAAGAAAATAAACTTCATGTGACTGGTAATACAGTAAAAAAAATCTCTTACAAAACTGATCAGCACAGATTAGGATTTTTCACTGCATTCAATAGAATTACAGAGTAGAAAGCTTGAAGTTCAGAATACAGAAAGAAACCAGAAGGGCACAAGTAATTCCAAGTTGCTTGCAAAATCAAGGAATCTCATAAAACCTGACTAGTCAGTCTGTCTTGGCAGCTGATCATATTATATAAATAGGTAACTCCTGGCATTGCTTTGCATGCATTACTATTCTATTCTTCCATTGCTCTATTATATATACTGGTAGAGCAAAATGGCGATGATACTTGATGCATTTGTGGGCAACTTCGTTGATAAGCTCGCCAGCTTGGTGAGTGAGAAGGTGGTCATGGTTCTAGGTGCCAAGGATGAACTCAGAAGACTCCAGAGGCGAATGGCGAGAATCCAAAAGTTTCTGGAGGCGGCAGAGCGAAGGAGGCTTGATGACCCAGATATTAACCACTGGGTCAGCGAGCTCAAAGATATCGCTTATGATGCTGATGACATCATCGATCTCTGTAGAATTCAAGGTGCTCTCTTGCTTGTCGGTCAACCATCCCCATCAAAGAAAACATTGGTATGCTTCAACTTCTCTCTCCTATCCTCCTGCTTTGCCAGCGTTCCACATCGTTATCAGATTGCTGAAAGCATTAAGAGTCTTAACAATAGATTAGAAGAGATCTATCAAGATAGGTTGCAGTTTAATTTGGAGGAAAGCAAGGAAAAAAAGAAGTCCCAAATGATCACAGTGGTAAACACCCGTCAAACTACTTCTTTGGTCGAATTTGATGTGGTGGGAAGTGAGATTGAAGAAGCTACCAAAGAGTTAGTAACATTGATAGTTGAGGAGCAGATGAATAAATGCCGTGTGTTTGCTATTACTGGTATGGGAGGTATAGGAAAAACTACACTAGCTCAAAAAATATATAACAATAAGAAGATACAGAGTGAGTTCCAAATCAAAGTGTGGGTTTGTGTTTCACAAAGTTATGATGAGATAGAATTACTGCAACAAGTGATTAGAGGGGCAGGTGGTGTTTATGGTGAGGGTAGAACTAAATCAGAGCTCCAACCATTACTTCAGGCTATGATTCATGGGAAGAGTCTATTTCTTGTTTTAGATGATGTTTGGAGAGCTGATGTTTGGATTAGTTTGTTTCGAAATCCATTACAGAGTGCTGGTGCTTTTGTTAGAATTTTAGTGACGACTAGAGATAGAAATGTTGCAAGGGAGATAGGGGTAGCACACATACACCCAGTGATGCAACTTTCAATTCAGACTAGTTGGGAAATACTTTGTAGAAGAATTTTTGTGGAGGGACAGGAGAATAAGATCAGCAAGTTGGCGGATTTAGGAATTCAGATTGTTGGAAAATGTTCTGGCTTACCTCTAGCGATCAAAGCCATTGCTGGTGTTTTGGCAAAAAAGGAAAGAAATAGAAAAGAATGGGAAAAGGTTTTTAAAAATGATGCATGGTCCATAAGCAACCTTCCTGCAGAGCTTGGTGGTGCTCTGTATCTTAGCTACGATGACCTTCCATCTTCTCTCAAGCAATGCTTCCTTTATTGTTCCTTGTTTCCTGAAGATAAATCACTTTATCGTGATGATCTTGTTCGATTATGGGTGGCTGAAGGGTTTGTAAAGGAGAAAAGTGATTTATTAGTGGAAGATGTAGCAGAGGATTACTATAATGAATTGATTAGGAGAAACCTTTTGCAGCCAGACCCTTTTGATCCTACTGAATGTACAATGCATGACCTTTTGAGATCTCTAGCAAAATTTCTATCACATGATGAGATTTTTTCTGGAAATACAGTGGCTGTTACAACTACCTCCTCAAGGACAAAACTTCGAAGACTATCAATTGAAAATCAGGAAAATATATCAGAACTTAAAGGTTTTATTGTTGAGCAAAAATGTTTGAGAACTCTACTTACTTTCAATGGCATTAAAGTGTTGAATGATAATCAGTTGGTAGGATTAGCACGCCTGCGTGTCTTGCGAATGGACAATGTTGATATAGAGAGCATTCCCGATTCCATTGGTGATCTGATACACTTGAGGTACCTTAATTTGGATGAAACAAATATCAAAGAGTTGCCGGAATCCATTGGAAACCTCATAAACCTCCAGTTCCTAAACCTCCGTGCATGCCCTTTTTTGACAACACTCCCTAAATCCATCACTAAATTGCACAATCTCCGACGTCTTGGTCTCTACAATTCTCCATTAAACTCCATACCAAAAGGAATTTCAAAACTAGAAACGATTAATGACCTCAGCGGATTTGTTGTGGCTGATCCAAGTGAACCGGTAGACTCTAGCAGTACCTTGGAAGAGCTGATTAACTCTCTTCACCAGCTAAGAATGCTCAGCATTTCAAAGATGGAGAGAGCTCAGAAAGGAGCTCTAACTCTTCGAAAACTAACTCATCTTGTTGACTTGAAATTTTTATACACAAAAGGAACGCTTCCAACAGAAGATGACATCACACGCATCGAGGATGTCTTGGAGGAGCTATGTCCTCCGCAATGCTTGGAACGTCTCCACATACGAAAGTTCTTTGGCCGTCATTACCCAAGCTGGATGAAATCTCCATCTTTTGGAGAACGCCTTCCACAGTTGACAGCACTTGAGTTATCAAAAAATATTTCTTGCACACAGCTTCCACCAGCTGGAGAGTTGCCACAATTAAACAATCTACTCATAAGTGGTGCAGCTTCAGTGAAGAGCATCGGACCTGAATTTCTAGGCGTTGGTGTTGCTGCATGGGATGTCGCAAATACACCAATGAGAATAGCCTTTCCCAATCTTCAAAGCCTTATTCTCCATCGTATGCCTGAATTAGAAGAGTGGACCTTCGACAAAGAAATGGAAGGATTTGATCGAAGAAGAGGAAAGGCACATGTTTTACCTCGATTGGATCAACTGGTTATTAACGATTGCCCAAAGCTTAAAGCACTACCGAAAGGTTTAGAACAGTCTAAGATGAAGACCCTTCAAATTCAAGGAGCTCATAGCCTTAGAGAAGTGGAAAACCTCCCCAATGTCATGGAACAACTGATACTCTTTGACGATCAGAGCCTAGAGAGGGTCTCATATCTCCCCGCATTACATATTCTCGCTATCAATTATTGCCCAGTACTGAACTGTGTGGAGAAGCTAAATTCTCTTCAGCGACTGAACCTCTTCGATATTTTCATGGAGAGACTCCCAGAATGGTTAGAAAGGCTGGTTGAGGAGCGAAAGCCAGGTGATGATGATGATGATTTCTTTTTCCAACTGATGTGCAATGAGAGAGTTCTTTGGAGATTACTGAAAGGAGGACCTGACTGGTGGATAATCGAAAAAATTCCACGAGTATTCGCATTTGACAATGCTGGAAAAGGTTTTCTGCGATACACAAGGAACCCTTTCTTCTATTATACAAACCTGTTTGTTATTGATTGACATTGTCATTGTGTCCAACTTCTTCTACTGTGAGCTGTATTGAGTGCTGCATTTATGTTTATGTTTTCTTCATGAATTTGCCACTATTAACTGTATTGAGTGTAGAACTCCCCTTGGCTTATTGGTTGAGAGCTTAGGCTTCCAATTAAGAGGCTCAAGGTTCGAGTCCATGTGTATGCGTTGTGTGTGTGAGTTTGCCTTAAATGGCCTAAATGTCCCAAAAAAAAAAAAACTGTATTGAGTGCTGTATTTATGTTTTATGTTTTCTTCATGAAAAGTTATGTATGTAACATCTTTTGATTGTAATGGAATAAATAATATCATATTGGGTTATTTTATTCTTGTTCTTCCTTAGAGCTCTTTTCACCTGCAACTTGAAATTATTGTTAATTTGATTGACAATTTATTTAATAGAAGATAAATAAAGTGAATAAAAGTTATAAGCTTTTGAAACCTGAGCTGATATAATTTGATATAAGCTTATGAAAATAAAGAAGGAATGTGAGGGTAAGTAAAATGAGCTTAACGTTTTTTACATAAAGTAGATTTTCAAAATTTATGCAAAATTTTGAATATAAGATCTCATACATCCCTTAACTTTAAATAATCTTATATAAGGAGGTGATTAATACAACACAAGAAATTTACTTTATATTATATTTTAATATATCAACTTTTCATCATTTAATTCTTATATCAAAGGTTTGTCCCCTTCAGTAACACTTCCTAAAATTTTTTAATGGATTTTATCCTTATATATATATATATATATATATGCTTGGCGTTTTTCTAGGTGAGATCATGACTACTAAGCAATTGAGAGAAATTTTGATGCACAAAATGATCATCCATGTACATTTATCACACAAAATCAAGCGTTAATATAAAAGGAAGAACATACAAGATGCTGGCCTACAGGTCGATGTAAGCATGCATAAAAGACTCAGTCTATTTGGACTAAAACAAGAAATTCAACTCAAATTAGTTCTGAGTTTATTTGAAGCTGATTTATGTCAAGCCACTTTACTTAAAGTAGAATTTTTAATATAAAATTTGATATTGTCTTATGGGCTCCAAAAATTCGCATCCCGGCCTCCCCTATTTCAGGGGACTTTTAATGGATTAGATTCTTGGGTAAATTTTTAGAAGGCAGATTGAGTTTGTAGATAAGACACTACCTCATTTTGCGAGGACTTTATAATCTGAGTTCTATTTTCATATAAACGCAAGCACCTATAGTTAATTACCCCCTCTCGATCACGAGAGAACTTTTGATTAAGGCTAGTCATCAATCATATATGTAGAAATACGTGTTATCTGGCATATACTAGCAGCATGGGTTTAGTATCTGAAATTTTGAAATTTAAAAATCAGAAATTCCACCATCTTGCACTTAAAGCGGATGGTGGGGGGAGTGAGATGAGCCAGATCAAGATCCCATGGTTCTGTCATCCCGGACAATCGTGATCCCTGAGATACTTGAGGAAGTAGTCAACCCAACCTAACAGAAGGATCCTTATCGGCAACCATGGGTTGCGTCGTTCAAGGGTACCTTGTACACTTGTGGCGGATGTTTGTCTAAAGGGACACATTTAAATCCACCTTAACTAGCGTAGGGTTTTATTCCCTATCAATCATATCCTATTGATTCACATCTCAAGGATTTAGTTCCATTGGTGAGGTTACGGGCTCTCGTCATGACCGTAATTTAGTGGTTCCATTTGAAGGCAAACCACCAGGCACTACAGGAAAATCACTTATTACCGGCGGAATTTTCCGGCGGCTTTCTGGAGGTCAGTTTTCCGGCGACTTTCCGGCTGTTCTTGACGGCTTATTTCTTACAAAATTTTCCGGCAGCTTTCCGACGGCTAATTTCCCCGCAAAATTTTGCGACGGCTAATTTCCCGCAATATCTCACGCGCGCCGACCGGCGCACTCGGGCTCGGTCTGGTCCGGCGCGACAGCCGGAGCACGCGCTGGCGTGCCGACGGGATCGGTCACCCGGGAAGCTGGCGGGAGCGGCTGTAGGGGGTCGCCGCCGGCAAGCCGCCTGAATTTTTTTTTTATTCAACCGGCGGTTTGTGTCCGCCGGCAAGCCGCCGGAAAAGCGCTGGAAAATTATTTTCTTACGCCGTTTTTTCTGGCGGCAAGAAAGCCGCCGGAAAACCGCCAGAAAATTAAAAAACTGCCGGAAACTGCTCAAATTCCGCCAGAAAAAGCCGCCGGAAATGTGTGATTTTCCTGTAGTGAGGTCCATAATGCCCCAATCATAAGCGCTTACCCGCGGTGCCATTAGGCGAAAAAATCATCTATTAGAGGATAAATTCCACGTCCTTGCTGGCAAGAGACTATTTAAGAATGAATCCTATTGACATTCTCAACCAGATATTAACTCTTTGTGAGTAGAAGTGATCATATTTAAATTTTTCCAACTCGACAAACTATTGCGGATGGTGGATGAGTTATGCTTTAAGCATTTTGATAGTTACTTTCATTTTTTAAATATTTGGATTTTGATATTTTTTTTGGAGTTTTGAATATTTATAGGCATTTAAAGGTATTCGAAGGTGTGGAGTATTTGGATTTAACTCATCCGGTTGAGATGTACGTTCAACACGGTTGTGAAGAATTATTCATTATTATTTAAATAAATAACAGACATAGCTATCTAATATCATGTATCAATAATAAATAATAAATTAAATTCTTTAATACCTCTACGTTCCTAATTGGGTCATCGAAAGGTTGTCATTTTATGTGACCAAACCATCTAAGGCGGCTCTCACTAATCTTATCTTCCACTGGAGATACTCCAACCTTTTCACGTATATTCTCATTTTGTTCCTATCTTTAAGGGTAAATCCACTCATCCACCTGAGCATTATCATCTATGCAACACTTAACTTAATATTATGCTTCTCTTTTAATGTCCAACATTCTGCACCATAAAGCATTGCAGATCTCACCACCATCTTATAGAATTTTTCCTTAATTTTGAGTGGGACTTTTTTATCACATAACAAGCCTGATGCATTCCTCCACTTCAACCATCCAACTTGAATTCTACTAATAATATCCACATCTATTTTACCATCACTATGAACAATAGATCCAAGATATCTAAAATGTGTACTCTTATTAATGACTTGATGGCCCAAAGTCACAATCCCTCCACTAGGCCTATTACTAATAAAATTACACTACATATATTCTGCTTTATACCTACTCAAGTGAAAACATTTATACTCTAAGGTTGACCTCCATAAATAAAGTTTACCTTCAACTCCCTATATAATCTTATCAACAAGAAGAATATCATCAGCAAAAAGCATACACCAAGATACATCCTCTTGCAAATGTCTAATGAGAACATCCAATACTAAAGCAAAAAGAAAAAAACTTGGTCAACCACCTTAGTGCAATCCAACCAAAATAGGAAAATACTTGGTCAAACCACCTTGTGTTTGAACACAAGTAATAGATCTTGCATACATATCTTTAATGATTTGAATATAAGCATTATTAACTCCTTTCTTTTCAAGAACTCTCCATAACACTTATCTTTGAACTTTATCATATGTTTTCCCTAAATCAATAAATATCATATGAAGATCCTCCTTATTCTCTCTATATTTCTTCATCAAATCTCTTAATAAATGTATTGCTTCCATAGTAGACCTACCCGACATGAATCCAAATTGATTTTGAGAAATGTTAATATCACGCCGCAACCTACACTCCATAACACCCTCCCAAAGTTTTAAAGTACGACACATCAACTTAATTCCACTATAATTTGCACAATCTTGTGCATCACATTTATTCTTAAAATAAGGAATCAATACACTTCTTCTCCACCTATCTGACATCTTTTTAGTATTCAAAATAGTATTCAAAAATTTAGTAAGTCAAGAAATTCCTTCATCTCCTAAGCATTTTCACACCTTTATTAGAATATTATCAGGTTCAACAGCTTTTTCACACTTCATTTTCTTTAAAGCCCTCTAACTTTGGTTTTATTAATATGTCAATAAAAACAAAAATCATTATTTTCATTTAGGGTGCTAAGATCACTAATGTTAATCATATTATCATAATATTCATTAAAAAGTTTAGCAAAATATCTTATCCATGTTTGGCTAACTTATACATATATCTTTATCCCTCCTTAGTATTTAATCTATTATATAAATCATTAAAAGTTAAGATCTTTGTATCACATATTGCTTTCTTAGATTACTTATGCATCTCTTTATATTTTTTTTTTCCAATTATCAAAATTTTTATATCTAAACTATTTTTTTAAACAAATCTAATTATTTTTATCTTTTCTTCCACATTTAAATTTTACCACCAATTATTTTTACTATTATGAACTTTTCCCTTTGACACTCCAAGTACATCTTTTGCAATATTTCTAATATCACTAACAACTTTTTCTTACTTAACATTAGCATTCTCATCTGCAAACAAAATTTTAAGATCTAAAATCCTACTCTCAAAAATATTTTTTATTAATATTCTTTAAATGCCCCCATCTAATCTTAAAAAATCATTTTACTTTATTTTTTATTTTGTGTTCCTTCATCTTAAAGTTAAAAACTAATAAGCGATGTTGGGTACATAAACTTTCATTCGAAAAAACTTTACAATCTATACAATCTAAACGATCTAATTTTCTTATAAGAAATTAATCAATCTAAGATTTACTATATCCATTCTTATACGTGATGAGATACTTATTTCTTTTTGTAAAATATATTAACAATTAAAAAATTATAAGCTAAAAAAATAATAATTTGGTTTTACCACCTTTATTAGTCATTTTAAACCCATGGTCACCTTGAATACTTTTAAAATCATCTACCTATTTAACAACATGTCCATTTAAATCTCCTCCATTTTTTTTTTCAAGAGGTATATTTTATAATAATTTTTCCAAGTCATTACAAAATTTTAATTTTGAATACATATCCAAACCTGCTTGAGGAGCATAAGCACTTATAATATTAATAATCTTAACATCAATAATAATCATTAAACCTATAATTTTATCTTCAATTTTATTAATCTTTATAACATTATCTTTCAAACTCTTATTTATAATCACACATACACCATTTCTATACGACTCTTACCCAAATACCATAGTTTAAATCCAAAACTATCAGTCTCGTTAGCCTTCTCTCCAACTCATTTAGTTTTTTGAATGCATAAAATATTTATCTTCTTATGAATTATAATATATATTAATTCTATTAATTTTTCTGTAAGGGAACCTATATTTCAAGTTCATATCCTATTTTTAGTTTCATGGATTATCTTGTTTTCCCTCATCCATCTTTGATGTGGAAACCCTTACCTATTTTATACTGCACTCATATGCCAACGTAGCGACTCTTGCACACTTATAGCTATATTTAGGCCATACGATGTGTTGTTTCAAAAGAACACCCTAACATTAACATAATGCATTAAATGATTCATGTGATGATTATTCGATAAGTTTTATGATGGCTATCGACTACCTAACACAACCATCCACTTTTCTCATCCAGGTCTTGGGATCTGACAATGATAGTGAAGGTCTAATCTGAACGTATAAAATAAATGTATCGGTTGACATTGTGACCATACATTTATTTGAAGATTTTAGTCATGTCAACTTATAGCTACTCATATAAGAGGATTAGGCTTGAATTTAATTTTATTATTTGACATGTATAACATCCTCAGACGTCATGTGTTACCCATAACACACTAGTCGGGGCTCATACAAGTTTACGATTGCACATGCATTTCTTTGTGTTTATGTGCATACATATCATAGTGTATGTGCGGGGGGCATTTTTGAACATAAGTCTTCTACGGGAGCTCCTAGAAGCTCATGTTTGTCATAGACCTTATGTATTTGCTCGTAGATGACATATAGTGCATGTGGAAGATCTCCTGCAACGGTCCATTGGAATTTATATTTGTTGCCTTCTTCCTACGTTTATAGCAGCTCGTAGGCATGTTATTAAGCTTGTGACAAATCTTACACTACTGCTAGCGTGCACTTGCATTTGCCACACTCCTCCATCCTTGCTTGTGTACAAATTCATGCATCTGTTTGTAAACATATCTTGTCTACTGGTCGAGCTGCATTTATTACCAATATCTCCATACAAGTTGATTGGTATCAACTATGAACGAGTCATATTCCTTGCAGTTTGCTCGAGCATATTCTATTGGCAAGTTACCCTCTTCTTTATATGTAACCCATCACGTTCACTAATGCTCCTTTTCGTTATTGCTTTCAAACGTCTCCATGTAGACCTATTAGTACTAGAAGTTCTATGTTGATAGTACCATGCTTTAGTGTTTTAGTGGATCGAGGTATTCACCATGAACTTTTATGATGAATTAATGTATTCATCATGCTCATTTGTAAGATTGATATGATGCCTCCATTATTGGTATGTAATTTGTAGCGTATGCTGGAGTATTCTCATGCATCTACATCTAACTAAATCACACATCCTTCTTAATTATCATTGCTCATTGTTTGCACATGAACTGGCAGTTATTCCTTTTAATGTCTATTAAACAACTTCAGTGTGTTCGTCGTATATTGACCCTCTTACTTGTAGAGTGTGTGCCACATTCGTGTCTTAACAATTACATGTCGGCTATCATCATTTGCGGGATTTTAGCTTGTTTGATGATTTCCTCACCATTACTTATGGATAAAAAATCATTTATATCATGACTCTTCTAATATCACAAGTGTTTGCATTCATTGCAACTCTGTTGATGTCACTTGTAAACAGAGTATTATGTGCATCATAAGTTCACACTTACATTTGTAGGTGAATTACTCTGTTCACCACAAGTCCCCTATCACTGTAAAAATTCGGCAACCTTCCAACGTCTCCCCCATTTAGGAGAAATTTCAGGAGTCTGGGCCTCTCACAATGGTAGAGAAAAGCATGTACAGTAGGTGTCTGATGACACAGTGGCCATAAATCTTCAATCCTATAATGCAAGAAAAAGGTGTGTATGGAGGTATGAAGGTTAGAGGCTTTGGCTCAGGCTTTAACTCTTCTTTACTTGCTAACAGGTTTACTAAAAAAAATGTGTAGTGGGGCAGGTGGATTACAAAGGAGCTGCAAGTGGGTGAAGGTAGATTTAATAAAGAGCTTCAATCGACGCAGTGAGAACAACGTGTGCAGATCAGATAGGTGGCTTGAAGGAAACTGATGTTTGGATACACGACTGTGCGGAACCAAGGTAAAGGCGGTTAAGAGTGTCTCCAGCTGTTCGGCAAACGCGTGAATGCAGTTCTTCCGTCGTCTCAATCGAACGCGAGTTTTGACGGCATTCATATGCTGATGAACAGTGCGACACCAATATTGGCGGCACACTGTTCATCCGCCATATTTTTTTAATATATAATTGATTTTTAATTTTAAATGTTTAAATATAAATTTATATTATAAATAATGAAAAAAATAATAATTTAGAAATAAATTATTTTTCAAAAATTAAAATATTTTTTATGTAATTATTTTTTTAAAGATAAACATTAACATAAAAATTACGATAATTTTCATATCATACATATTTAATAAAAGACATTGAGTACTACGATACTTAAAAAAAAAACTAAAATCAAAATACGAAACAAGTTCGGATAATAAAAAAAAATAAAATAGCTAGTTGTGACAATCTAATAATCCGAAAGAGTGGTGTGAGCTCCTCCAAGATCTGTGAGAAATTGTCCAAACGAGCTTGAAGAAGGAGGTTGTTGTTGATCTTGTTGTTGTCCGAACCTCTTTTCTAATATTCGTGCTTGTTCAACTTGGACAAATGCACAAACGAACTTACATCTTGAAACAATATTTTATTTTCTTCTTTGATTTCTTTTAAGATATAGTTCTTAGCTTGAAGCTCCATATGTTGTTGTCTCTGTGCACTTGTTCTTTTTAATTGCTCAATCAGTTCTTTATTTCCATCTTCTAGAGTTTTAATAAATGTTGACATCTCATCATCAATTTTTCTTTTTAGCTTTGCTTTCTTCACCCCAATCGGTCGTTCAGATTGAGAGCCACGAACATTGTATTCTTCATCATCTAAATTTAGATAAAATGTAGATATTCCAGGAGATTGTTGTTTACCAGATTCAGGAGTTAAATTTTCTGACTCTGATGAGGCATACCCATAGCTTGACATACGTGATGCCTGCTTACAACTAGATTGACCATTTTAAAATTTCTCAAAATTTTTGTTAATGTTCCATACATGATCAAACTTCTAACCTGCTTTAAACTTCTCATATTGTGCAAACAGTAGTTTGGCATGATCTAACTATAAATCAATCAAATTTCAATTACATAAATTATGAAATGAAGAAGACAAATTTTAATAGCAAATATAAATACTTACAATATCTTCATTTGAAGAACCACTAATGTGTCTATTTTCAACTTGCCGAATGTATGCATGCATTTTCCTTGTTGCTTTCTCAATAGTATGAATACAAGACTGAACAGACCTTTTCGAACGGATTTCCCAACTTTGGATTTTAGAATTATTGTATGCTTGTTCGACAGGTGACAAAAAATTATCCGAAGACTGATATATACCCGTGATTGGGTCTTGAGCAATTTCCATGTACATTATGCATAAGAGCTTATCTTGCTCATGAGAATATGCAGTTGATCGTATTGACATGTTTTTTGGAGGCTTAATGGATTTGGAATACTACTAAAAGGACATGCTCTTCACCCTTATTTATATAATAATTGTAGAGATTCTCACACATCTCAAGTTGTATTGATTAGATATGACAACTCACTGAATTTGTCCTTTGATATTCTTACACATCTCAAGTTGTATTAATTAGATATGACAACTCACTGAATTTGTCCTTTGAGATTCTCACACATCTCAAGTTGTATTGATTAGATATGACAACTCACTGAATTTGTCCTTTGAGATTCTCACACATCTCAAGTTGTATTGACTAGATATGACAACTCACTGAATCTGTCCTTTGAGATTCTAACATATCTCAAGTTGTATTAACTAGATATAACAACTCACTAAATTTGTCCTTTGAGATTCTCACACATCTCAAGTTGTGTAATATCAAAAATCTGCTCCAGGATCGTCCAGGACGATCTGGATCGTCCTGGGACGATCAGTTGTAAAATAGAAGAATTTCCAAGTGATCTTAACATCACAATATCAATATGCATAATAGTTTTCCATCTTCTTCTTCCTTAGATGAAGAAGACACACTCCAACTGATAAATAGTTTACAAGAAGAGGAAATGATGATTCGTTGTGCCATATCAAATAACAATATGATGATCCATTACCTACTTACACGGCCTATTAACCGTGTCTCTGCAGGAGGCTTAGTTATAGGCCGCGCTTATATCAACCGTAATCGGGAGGATGCGGATCGTCGACTCTACCAAGATTACTTCTCAAGTAATCCAGTATACAATGAAACAATATTCCGACGAAGATATCGAATGTCCAGGACATTGTTCTTGCGTGTGCTTGATGTAGTAAAAGCACATGATAAATACTTTCAACAATGAATGGATCGAGCCGGTAGGCTTGGTTTATCACCTTTCCAAAAAGTAACAGCCGCATTTCGGATTTTAGCATATGGATTACCCGCAAATGCCACAGATGAGTATATTAGAATAGGATAATCAACAACAATCGAATGCGTGAAGAGATTTTGTATAGCAGTAGTCCAAAAATTTTCAGAGCAATACTTAAGATCACCAACAAACAATGATGTGGCTAGACTCCTTCAGATTAATGAACAACGTGGTTTTCCAGGGATGTTGGGGAGTTTAGATTGTATGCATTGGAAGTGGAAAAATTGTCCTACCGGGTGGGCTGGGCAATACGCGGGACGTAGTGGATCACCTACAATTATTCTAGAAGCCGCGGCAGATTATGATCTTTGGAAATGGCATGCTTACTTTGGTTTGCCAGGTATAAATAATGATATAAACGTATTAGAATCTTCTCACATATTCTCCAATCTTACTCAAGGCATAGCTCCTCCCTATCGTTACATCATTCAAGGAAAAGAATATAACATGGGTTATTATTTGGCTGATAATATATATCTGAAATGGGCCACCATTATGCAAACTATTCGAGAACCACGTACTCCAAAGAAAAAATATTTTGCTATGAAACAGAAAGCATGTAGAAAAGACGTGGAACATGCTTTTGGAGCTCTCCAATCTCGTTTTGCAATTATGGCTGGACCAGTTCGTTTTTGGAGCAAAGATGTGATACATGATATAATAAATACATGTATAATTTTGCATAACATGATAACCGAAGATGAACACAATCTCACTGGATATTTATGTGTTCTAATGTAATTTTAATTGTATTAAATATATATTTGCTTATTTAGAACATATTAATATCCCAATTTTTTTATACCGAGAAAAGAAACAATTTTTAACATTATAATAGGTTTAAAATTGATAAATGTAAATATATGATTGAAAAAATTTAAAATAAAATAAGAAAATAATATGCTATATTCTTTTTTTTTTATGTTAGAAAATGAAGTTCGATTGGAGTCAAGTTACTGTATTTTAGAGTTTTATTATATTTTGGAGTGGAAAATGAGTTTTTCGGTTGGAGATGCCCTAAGGCAGAGCTTGGATGGGAATGGGAAGCGACAGTTGATTTTGCTTGAGGCAGCTCGTGGGAAGTCTTTGTTGAGCGACTATAGGAGATCAAGAGACTTGATAGAAGCTTAGGCTAAGGGAGGAAGAAGCCGGTTTGCAGAAGCTTTGAATGGGGAGTTTCACGTGAGAGCTTTCATGAGGGGATTTTTTAAACACACATGGAAGATGAAAACTAGAGATTAAAACGGAACATCCAGCAGCATTCATTTTGCCTTGATTTAATAATGAGACCTCATCGCTGTTTGAGGGAAATGGCTATGGAGATTTGAGCAGATGGCTAAAAGACGGGATTTGCAGAGATTTGCAGAGGAGAACAGAGCAGTTAACCCGAGGTTTGCATGCAATTGGGCTCTGATTTCACCTACCCCTTTGATTTTCTTTTTTTAATTGACTTAATATAGTAATACCAGGTTATTCTTACTATTATTAAGTTCTAAAATGATGGAAACATGTCAATTGATCAAAATTGTCTTGATTCATTCACATTAATGTCCAAAAAAAAAAAAAAAAAGATTCATTCAAATCTTGATTCATTCACATTAATGTCCCAAAAAAAAAAAAAAAAAATTCATTCACATTATCCTCATTTTACGTGTTGATTTCACCGCACAATTTTCTCGATTTGTATGCCGTCTACTTAGGATTCGTGTTGCCACCTCGGATGAACCCAATTGAACAAGTTGATAGTGTTTTTTTAGTGTCGATGATGTTCCAGATGCAACAACGAATTTTTTTTTGCTATCGAACGTCATTTAGGTGATATTGTGCTTCAATTTCAGGTGTCGGTCGTCCCGTTGGACCAATCTTGTCCTATTCAACTACCAGGGGTTCCCTCCTAGGCGCTTGACGCAGCTCGTTTTGCAATAGGAGGCCGTTTAACCCTTTAAGTGATGTTCTCCACCAACGCCTGAGTGGCTTAAATCACCATTTTTGACTTTTTTTCTCGTATTTTTTTGTATAGGGGTCAACATGTCTTTTATTTTTTTTATTTTAATATTATTTTTAATTTAAATTAGAAGAGATTGGCATGATAAAAAGATCATTAAATTTTATATCTCTTAAAATTCTACTATGTGAGAACTTTAAAAAATGTAAGAAATAATTAATAAAGTAAATACAAAATATTCATTGTGAACAGAAACTATTAAAATTTAGGTTTTGTTTGGGATGGCTTCCTTCTTGTTCTCTAAAACATTTTTAAGTTCAAAAAATTCTTAAAAAGCAGCACAAAAACAGTCCGAAACGAAACCTTAATCTTGACACTCATGAGAAGTAGTTCACAATCTTGTATTCTTAGTACCAAACAATCTACAGTTTAAATAGAACTTGTCATTTTTTGTATTATCACATAATTAAAAATAATATAATATAAAATGCGACAACATAGAATAAGATTATTAGTTGCAAGCTTAAAATGACCTGAAAATATAGATATTATTTGTTGATCCGCAAATTGCATAGGCTCTGTTCTTGTATGTAAGTAATGCCTCGCTCCACAAAAAGATTCAACCTTGCAATGGAGATTTTGTTATTCTTATGAGCACAACTCATGAGACTCATTCAAAGAGATTTGGTCCTATATTTGCATCACCTTTAGAGCACTTCAAGAAATCAATATTTTTAAATAGAATTTTGTTTTGGTCCAAAGAATATTGCTCATTTGGCAAAATCAAAGAGTGTGGCCCTATGTCTATATTCATTTTTGACACTAGAACCAAGGAACCATCATTTTTTAGTATAAATTTACTTGATATAGTCAAATATTTTACTCATTAATATGAATATATATAGGTAAAACACCACAAAAAGGGCTTCCTTGATAATTTTTTTAGAAGGAATCAATCAATATCATTGGATTCACACTGGGATCCATTCTTTTACAAGTGTCTAATTATGATGGAGACTTGTATTCAAATAAAACAAATCTCTTTGCTAATTCAATAAAAGTCTTTAAGGAATTAATTTCAATTCCCTAATCTGATCTCAAATTAATTAAAATAAAAGAAAGTTTTGAATAGCTATCGTAGAAATCTGGAGAGTCCCACTTTCTGCCCATTTTCCTTGACATCAATTTGGACCTGATTCCTGTACTCCCCAAAAGTAAAATTCTTATAGAGGGAGGGCTCTTTGCAGCTCCCTATTATGGACTCATATGATGGGCACAAGAAATAGGCTATGGAATACCTATCAACCTTCTCATTCGCCACAACCTTGTGTATTACACTCTTGTAAATGTCATTGCTCCATCCCTACAAGTCATTTTTAAATTAATCCGTATGTTAATAGATATATATATATATCTATATTTAGGAAGTTGTATCACATGCAAACACAATTGTAATTATGCTAGGACGCTCATGCATAAAGTCATAGCCGCATATTCTTATATTGATTGAAATTTACTTGAGATAATTAATGAACCATAAAATGCTCTCTCTTTTCTAAAAAAATTAAACATGCTAATATGAATTTGAAGTTCTTTAAAAGCCATTAAAAAACACAAAACATGCATGCCCCAAATATAAAAGGGGATAATCTTCAATACTATGCATGGCTACAAGATAATAGTTAGGCAAAACTTTTAAATTTTATTATCAATTCTATTGTCTCTAATACACATATCCCATAAATATTTTAAAAGGAGCAATGCTTTGCACCCCAAAATTATAACATAGTCAACAAATAAGTATAAAAATTTATAAACATGAATTTTTTATTTATTATGTATTTTCTTGAATAAATGATGTGTTATGTGCCGTCCATGCGAGAAATTATCATGTGCAGTCACCAGACCGTCCGTAGGCGAATCAGAATACGTCATGTCACATGATACACAACAAGATGGTGACATGGCACTTCGTGATTTGCCTCCGGACTGCGTCTGATGACCGCACGTAATAATTTCTCCATCCACGCATGCATGAGAGAGAAAAGAGCTCAAAAGAAGTTTTCTCATTAACTTTTAACTAAATTATAGTTGTTTTGTACATGCCACGTGTGATTTTCCTGATTATCATTTTGAGCTATGAGTTCGACAGCAAAAAATCTTTTCGTATTTCAAAGCATCAGACAACATAGCCTTCGTTGGAAGTAACATTAGAGTGTTTTATGATTTTCTTGTCCTTGAGAAACTATCTATGTTTCAGTAATTGAAGAGATTATTTATTTATTTTTTGCTACGCATATGGAAGCATGTTAGTTACCTGAAATAGGTCTCCGATGTTGACTATGAGAGCGTTTGGATTTGGTTTCACAGCAACCCATTTGAAGTCCTTCATCATGTGGAGCCCTCCCACTTCATCTTGATGAAGTATAGTGAGGAAGTCGCTGTCAGTGTGAGGAGTCAAACCAAATGTTTTGGGCGAGAAAGTACATTTAGGATAATGATTTAAGCGAAGAAAGCATGTATTTTTGCTTGAATTTTCTGGAAAACTATGTCCTCTGTAGCCCAAATTTTCTGCCAGAATTTTGGCTAGAATCCCTGCCAGCTCCGACATTGCATTGGCAAGTTTCTCCATCACTTCTCTACAGATATACATATAAATATATCTAGTGCTTTGATTTAACTATTGTAATATGCATGTTATTTAAATAAAATTTTGTATTGTGTGCATGAGAGTTTACCTTAGAGAGCTGAACTCTCGAGAGAAGCAATCCTCTCCCGAAATATTTCCAATTGGAAACTGAAAGGCTTCTGACCACGAGAACTGTTCAAGAGAAGTGGCTGTTGGAGTGCCCCAACGATAGCAGTCATTCAGAAACCTGGAATTTACCTTCTTTTCGAAGGGTATCTCAAATATCTTTTTTTGCTCTCTTCTCATTTGTGCTAAAAGCTCATGACTGATTCCATGGTTGACAACTTGGAAGAAACCCCATTGCAAGGATGCCTTGGTGATAGATTCAATGCAGGCTTGTCTTTCCTTCTCATTCTTTCCTCTTAAATTCTCCAAGTCTATCAACGGTGGCTCAGACTCTCCCAAACCTTCATCTTCATGATTGCGAATTTTTCTAGATTCAGAAAATATTTCACTGAAGCATTCCGTAAATGGTGGATCAGATTCTGAGTATCTTGTTGGCATTTCTTTCAGAAATAATTGCAATAGATTTGCAATGTCTTTAAGAAAGCTAGTGGAGGTGATAAGGCTCTTCTTATATTGATGTTTGTACTTATAATCTTACAATTAGCATGAGAGGAAACTAGCTGGACCGAGGCATAGGATTGAGGCACATGGCCAAAAAAGGTGAATAGATGCCTATTTTTCTTGATCTGAACAAGTCCACAACCATAAGCGTGCATTCTTGAACTAATAAAGAAGGCATAGTAAATACTTTCATTAAAAAAAAGAAAGAAGAAGAAATGGTCGATAAAATCTTGAGCTTCTAGAGAAGAGAGAGAGAGAGAGAGAGGCCTGAAAATTAATCTGAAAGTATGATTCTAATTTATAGCTGCAGTTTTGCCTAATTAATCTTGATTCCATGAACGTTTATCTTATTTTATTCAAGTTGAAATTGTTAGTTTACAGTATTTGCATGCAATAAACGAGGTTGTACGTATAATAATGGGATTATTTAGAGATGATGATAACTTTACTGTTGAAGGATTTCAAGTAGTTTCCATTCTTGCTTTCCCTGCGATTTCCAGTGCATTTTGTATCAATTGGATAGTTCAGTGTTCCATATATGTTGGTGTTTGTGTCATGATACCAATTTTTATCATCGTAAATCATGGTTATCATAAACTATTATGATTAACATTTTTATACTTATTGAAAATTAAAAATTTTAAATTATTATATATAGTTCTAAGAATCAAATTGCTTTGATGATTGCATTAAAGATATAGGAATCATAAAAATGTATGAAGTATAAAAATATTCATGAACATTGCAAGAGTTGATTTTTTTTTGCTTGCATGAAACCCTTAGATAAGTGTATTTGCTACGTGCTAGAAAATTGAAGGCAACAAAGTGTTTGTTTTATGTCTTAATGTTGTACAAAAATATAGCATGTATAGATAAAATTGTAAGAACAAACTTTTTTATGTGAAAAAGTTGAAAAAGGGAAAGATGAAAGTGCTTATGACACACCAAAAGAGAAAGAGGAGGGGGGTGGGGGTTGTGAGGGACTGGAGGTGCGGGGCGCGATGAATTGATGTTTTAAAAAACTTTTAAAATCTTTTTCTTAAAAGAAAATACTTGAAATGATACGAAAATGATTTACCAACTATATATATATATATATATTGCTTATTTTTTAAACTAAAAATCAATCAAAATAAATCATCAAAATCCTCTTGCAATCATATAACCACAGTTCAACCATAGTGCAATAAAAGTAAATTGCACTTAAAAATGAAGTGTAGAAAATAAAGAAAATACTTCAAATGATGCGAAAATGATTTACCAACTCAAAAAATAAAGAAAAAAACAAATAAGATTTTTTGTGTTTTTCTAGAAAACAAATTTTATATATAATATTGCTTATATTTTAAACTAAAAATAAATCAAAATAAATCAGCAAAATCCTCTTGTAATCAGATAACCACAATTCAACCATTGTGTAATAAAAGTAAATTGCACGTAAAAATAAAGTGTAGAAAATAATAAAAAATGTAAATCGAGATTTATAGTGGTTTGATCAATTTGACCTATATTCACTCCATGAAGGTCCACACCTTTGGGTATTGCACTAAATAGTGACTCTCCTTTTTTTTTGGTTAAAACCCACTCATGGGGTTTACGCGTTAAAATTCAAAAATACAGTTACAAGCTCCTTAAAAGGAACCTCCAGCTCACTACTGCACGAAAGAGCTACAGTCAAAAAAGAATATTCAAAACCTATGAGCCAGTGGTTCCTTTCTCTACGATTACAAAAGGAGATTAAAAATAAAGAAAGTCTGTGAGTCAACAGAACCCAAAAAAGGAAGCTCATAATGATGGCATTCAGCTCAGTCTTCCTGCAAAAAAAAAAAAAAACAAGAACAAAGCCCAAAAAATTCTAAGGACCAAAGGAAAATTACCTTGCAAGCAGTAAAGATTGCACCACGAAAGATGTAGAAATTCCCAAAAATCCTTGCGGTCAATGAAGAAGTGGTTCCAGTCATTAAGCCTAATAATGAAAACAAGATAAAACTTCCTGATGGCCGCCAAAATATAAGTAAAAGCCCTGCTAGCGATAACAATCTCCAGGCGATCCTTCAGAGCAACCATAATGTTATGCATATCAAAACCATAAAAGATCATAGTAATCGGATCCTTCAGAGCAACCAAAATGTTATGCATATCAAAACCATAAAAGCTCATAGTAATCGGAGTAGAAACATTAATAATAGACAGAAAAGGCCCTTCCAGCACACAGAAGACCAAAATAAAGCAAGTCACAGATCAGCTAAGACCAATGACAGAATAACAAGTATAGTAAAAAAAACAGAACACAAGGGTCCTACCAGCACACTGGTCACCAACACAGAACTCCAGTCCAGGCAATGCCAAAGACCTGGACCCATCTAAGAAGACAACTAAGAACACCTCCAACACAATGACAGAAAAACAAAAAAATGCCAGAAAAATAGAAAAAACTGTAGTGATAAATAGACAGACAACCCGGATTAGACCAAACCTGCAGTACATAAACCAAAACCAAACTGGCAGTATGCCACTGAGTTCATGAGGCAACCACATTAATCCCAGCCAGATACCCACGACCAACAGCCTCCAAACCAAGGGAAGAACCAACAGAATAACCCAAAAGATCCACAAAACCAATACAGAAAAGCACCAAGAAGAAACAAAAATGTGCAGAATAACACAGTACATGAAGCCTCAACAGAAAACCCCAGAACCAACCAAAAATGAACTCAAGCATGCCGCAGGTAAGGAAGGGCAGTTTTTTCCAGATTAATGAGCCCTTTCAGAAAAAGAGGAAGGTCATTCACATTTAATTCATGATACATATCACTATGAGAACCATGCTTAGCTAACCAATCCGCACACGCATTGCCTTCCCGATAAATATGAGAGATAGAGAAAAAAAGTTTAGATAGATGCATTCTATTCTTACGAATGGTGTAAAAATCATGAGGATTACCAGCGTTACCATGCTTAATAATATGAATTAGGAGTTGATCATCAACCTAAATCATCACATGCTGAATACCAAGCCTCGCACAGATATTTAAACCATGAGACAGACCCTGAAGCTCAGCCGAAATCACAGAGCACTGTTTTAAAGGGCTAGAAAAAGCAGCAATAGGAATACCTAAAGAATTCCTAATAATACCGCCCATACTAGCATTATTAGAGCCAATAGAACCATCCGAATTAAGCTTAACATAAGGTAAAGGTGGTTTAAACCATCTCACCACACGATCAACGGTACTCATATCATAATTGACATTAAGAGTGCTAAAGTAGTTAGCCAAAATAGTGCAATTTCTAAAGTTTTTAGCAGAAATAAGGTTAAAAGATATAAGCTGAAGGATTTTGTTCCTAACATTATGGATAATATGAATAGCATCCATCTTAACATCATTGTGCTTAGAATCGTTCCTAGCCTTCCATAAATACCACAAGATCAAGATAGGAAGAAGATTCATAATATGGCCTTTTGGTTTGATAAACCAAACTTTAAGAATATCAACAACATTGCAATTAGCATTAAACACCAGAATATCTGCAAGATTGTAATAGTGACACCAAACCTTATGCGCTGTCTCACTATTTATAAAAAGATGCTTGATACTTTCCATACTGAAACAACACTGGCATTTAGAAGGAAAAGAAAATCCTTTCTTCCACAAATTATCATCCACAGGAAGGTACCCATTAATGCATCTCTAGGAAAGAATAGAATAAGATAAGGGAATGGTGTTATGCCAGAGAGACTCAAAGTTATGATCAATAACATCTTTATACCTAATAGCTTCCCAAACATTTTTAAAGTGAAAATTACCATAAGGAGAAAGTTTAAAAAGGATTTTGTCCTTGATTTGAAGTTGTAATGGGATTTTCACAATCATGTTCACAATTTCAATAGGAATCACATCCAGCAGTTTGCTAGAATTCCAATTACCATTATTAATAAAATGATTAACTCTAACATTGTCAATAGTATGGGTGTTGAGAAAACAATCAATAGAAAACATACCCAACCAATTTTCTTGCTAGAAGGACACATCACCTTTGCCAAGCCCCCATTGAATGTACTGTTCAGCTTCCCATTTGATCTTACAAAGCCTTTTCCACACATAAGAGTCAGAAGATTTATAATGGCAAACCAAAGGGTTACGCATTTTACAGTATTTAGCCTTCATAAACTGTGCCCAAAAACTATCATTAGAACAAAAAGCAAACCATAATTTATGAGAGAAAGCCTGAATAGTGTCAAAAATATTCTTGCAACCAAGCCCTCCCTCATAAACACCACAAATTTTTTTCCAACTAGTCCATTTGATACAAGACTTATTGTTTTTAGCACCCCAAAAAAATTTATTGAAAAGCCTTTCCAGCCTAATGCAAACAGTGGAGGAGGGTAACAAAGTGTGAAAGATAAACATAGGAATAGAACATAAAACACTTTTAATAAGCACCAACCTACCACCAAAAGAAAGGAAGTTAGAGGACCAGGTAGTAAGTTTCTTATGTAAAATAGAGAAGATATTGTCAAACAAAAATTTATTCTTTCTACCTTTAAAGAGAGGAGTGCCAAGATACGTAATAGGAAGAACCGTAGAGTTAAAGCCACTAACTCTCTTGATCTTGCTAATTCTATCATTGTTTACCATTTTACCAATGAGAAAATTACTTTTCTCCCTGTTAACATTTAAACCACTAATCTTTTGAAAACGGTTAAGAAATTGAAACAAAACTTTCACATTTTTAATCGAAGCATTAGAAAAGATAATGAAATCATCAGCAAAACTAAGATGAGTAATAGGAAAACCTCCACTAGTATGAAAATGAAGGCTAGGGGACCTTAAATAAAGATCCTCAAGCCCCCTAGACAGATATTCCATAGCAATAATGAACAGAGAAGGAGACAAGGGGTCACCTTGCCTAAGGCCATTCTGAGAACTAAAGAA